AGCTAGCCGCTAAGTCTAAGGTAGCTAAGAAGAATAAGGTAAAGGCTATAGAATCTAATACTAAGTCCGAGTCTAAGGAAGACTATAAGAATAAGCTTTAACTTAATTGTTTCCTATATTCGTAGGTAAGTAGATCTTCTTTCTAGAGAGAGAGAATATATTATAGAAGAAAGGAAGGTCGGCTCGGTTTACTTAGTAAGCTAGCCTACTTCCTTCGGTTTACTAGCTAGACAGTTAATAATTAAGCTTCTTATATACTTTTTAGTCTAGGTTACGCTATATATAATAAGTAAAATAAGGCTCTAGTAAGCGATAAGTACTAAGATAGCGTAGGTCTTAGACCCGAATCGAGTTCTTAGTATAAAAGTCTAATAACTTCCTTCTAAGCTATATAGTCTAAGAGTTTAATAGCTTTTCTAAGTTAGAGTAATACCTATATCGATTCTAGTAGCTCTAGTAACTTCTAGTAGATCTAGTAGTATCTCTATAAGTATTCGAGTTATTATTACTAGCCTTTTTAAGATTAAATATAAATAGTTTTTAAATCGTAGGCTCTTATTATCTTATCTATATATTATAGCTATCTATACCTATAAGCTACTATCTCGCTATCTACGCTACTTATATAATACTAGCTACTATAGTAGCCTATATTACTTTTATAGTATAAATAATAATATATAGCTCTACCTTCGGCTCTAATAATAAGGCTAACTCTAACCTAACTTAGCTAATTACTATAGTTAAGCTAAAGTTATAAAGAGAGTATATTAACTAATCGAGTACTTATAAATAGATCTCTATAAGTAATATATAAGTAGGTAGGTTAAAGAGGTTTATATAAGAAGTTAATACTAAGTACTAACTACTACTAGAGAGGTAGACTTTAAGTAGCTATAGACTAAGTTAGTACTAGTCGCTCTAGTATACTAACTTAGGTACTACTACTACTTATTAGTACTACTCTATTTTCTTCCTTTATAAAGTCTCTTATATAGAATCTATATTAGCTAATATATTACTATATTAATTATAGCTTAATATCTCTATATAGAAGAGTTAGATTATAGTTACTTCCTTTACTACTAAATTAGATACTATATATTAGTAGAATATTAACTATAATATTAGATCTACTTCTAGGTCTAAGTAAGATTATCTATAATATCTTAAGTTACTATATAGCTTCGTAGGAACTTAGCCTTATTAAAAAGAGCTATAATTATATTTTATAAGAAGAAAGATCTATAGAAGTACTTAGAGAATTAAAAAGAAAGATATCTATATTATTTATATATATCTTTAATCTCTAAGCTCTAGGTTCTATTAACTCTTATAAAAGGCTAGTTAACTTTAATAAAGAATCTATTAATATTCTTAATCTCTTTTTAGGTTATATAACTACTATAAGCTTCTTTCTCTTCCTTTTCTCTTTATACTTTATTTTATATAGTAAATTAAGATCTATTCTTTTTTAAACCTCTCTTAGTCTTTAGTTCTTTAGTTCCTTTAGAAGTTAGCGTACCTTCTAATAATGCGACGGCCCTACATAGCTAAGAGCTTTATATACGGACACTCCCGAAGCCGGAGGTTCTAACCCGGTCGACTAGGTTTTTACCCGGTCGCCCGCTACTCGACTTGTTTTCGTTACCTTACCTTATCCTTAGATTATTACTATCACCCGCCTACGCCAACACGCTCGTGTATGCGAGCATCACGCTCTCCGTTAATCGGCATCACGCTCGTCAATCGGCATCACGCTCGTCAATCTGCATTACGCCCATCGATCGCTCTCACGCCCCTTACAAACCACCGCGCCCTCCAGTCGGCCAACCGCTCGTGGGCATCCCGCTCCCAGTGGTGGAGGACTTACTCCTAATATGTCTTGGCGAGGGCAACGCTGAGGGCAATTTTCTCGAAGCGAAGTACAGCGAGGAAAGGCCGTTACCTACAAGTGGATTACGCACTGCACGTGGATCAAGTAAGGAGAAGGCCGTCAACTGCAGCCGCCACCTGCAAGGAGATGGAGGGCCGCTTTGCATCGGTTCATCGCTATAAGGAATCGGCCTGGAATGCACTCATCACTAGCACCCCCGGGCGCATCGTCGAGATTCGATAACAACGGTGCTCGAGCATCTTCGCGCATCCATGTACGCTTTCATCACCGACACTCTTTGTATCGCCTTGCCCTCTCTGCTTCATCGCCATGAGGAAATGGCAATCGGCCTGGGATGCGCTCATCACCAGCGCCGCCTGGCGCATCGTCGAGAACAACGGTGCCGAGGGTCAGCTATTCGATCTCCGAGCATCCGTCAAAGGTGTGCGCTTTCCTCATCGACACCCTTCGCATCGCCTTGCCCTCTCCACTTAATCGCTATGAGGAATCGGCCTGGAACGCGCGCATCACCAGTACCGCCTGGCGCATTATTAAGAACAACAGTGGTAAGAGTCAGCCGCGCGACTTTACACAAAGCTGTACGCTTTCCTCGCCGACACCCTTTGCATCGCCTTGCCATCTCTGCTCCATCGCCATGAACAACCGGCCTGGAATGCCCTTATTACCAGCGCCATAAGCAATCCGCCTGGAATGCGCTCGTCACCAGCGCTGGAGCGAAATTGCCGTCGATTCTCTCTACCGCTTAGTCGATTCCAATGGATAACAGAGTGGCCGCTGCTGTTGCTTTGAACCTGGATCCCAGCGGGGAGGGGGAGGGCGATGCTACTTCAGCGTGAGGAGGCCTTCTTTGTACAGGATCTGAGTCCGTATGCGGCCCGCTTTAGCATTCGCAATCTTCAGAAGGCACTTTTTCGGAGTTGCTCACCACGGATATTATTAACAATTTGCCGGAGATCCTGCATCGCGTGCAGTCCAGGCTGTAGCAAGTTAACGGCGAGCTTGCATCCTTTCCAGAAGAGGCCGCAGCTCCTAGCCTGACCGTTATTACAACGATTGATACTTAAAGACCGCATCGTCGTACCGCTCCCCAGCAACCGCGGCAGCAGCAAGCAGCGCTAAATCGCTATCGAATCATCTTCAAACTCGGAGAGATCAGAGAGAGGTACGACTCCGCCCCGGGTGCCGACATGCCTGGCAGCGCGTCCGTCCACGTCGACCGCAAGCTGAAGCTGGAGCCTCTACAATGCTGGACTGCCATCGTGGACGATTCGCGCAATCTGACTGCCAAGGAGAACCTGCCTCTCACAATGGGTCATTACCTGGTCGCTTTACCAATCAGAAAACTTGCCTCTCTCACGGCGAGAAGGTGCGCGCAATCTGACGGCCAAGGAGAACCTGCCTCTCACAATGGGACATCATTACCTAAGGAAGATGGGCCTCCTTACCAATCAATTCTTCGATATCCCTAGTGCGAGGGGAGCCTCGCTCTCAGGAAGGGCGGCGCTGCTAAAGCGAAGGAGGAGCAAGCTAAACAACTCCTTCGGACAACGGCGGCGAGAAGGTCGAACATGCGCGCAATCTGACTGCCGAGGAGAGCCTGCCTCTCACAATGGGGCATTACCTAAGGGAGATAGATGGGTCTCCTCACCAATCAGTTCTTCGGTAAGCCTAGTGTGTACCGCGAGAGAAGGGTAGACAAAGGGTTTGCCTGAAGGACATCGACTGTCCGGCAGTCTGGTAGGATAAGTTAAGGGAGCACACGCCGCCAATGCTGTCGTATCTCAATGATAGCACGGTTGAGATTGGCGCCTTAGGGTACTAGGAAGTTGATCCCCCTAATCTGGAACGGCTTGTAGAGACTCCATTCGAACTTCGACGTCTTTTATCGCCTGTCTGTATGTTCCCGCGCTGCTGGAGCATCGCCTTAGTACGCTTCATGAAATGTAGCCAAATCTCTAACGTGGAGCCGGAGCCGAGATTAGAGTCGAAGTGCGACGTTTTCTGTCTACTAGCTGCTGCCCGGGACGAACACACTGTTTGAGAGACGACAGGGTAGACAGACGTATAGAGGTGATTCCAGGGATATATAAGGTATACCGAACAAAACATCTTTGGTTAGGAGGCGCTTCTAATTGCAACATGCATGCGGCGGCTGCAGTAGCTAGTCATTAGAAAAATCATTCGAAACTACGTACTAGGTCAGTTAGACACAATCGCAGTCCCTCGCGAGTCAAGCAAGACCGAACATGTCAAGCGGTGATGTAGTGAATGAATTGAATAATGAGTGAACTTTCCAATTACGCTGCTAGGTCGGAAGCTGCCGAAATTTCCCCAAACCAAGGAGCGCTTGCTAAAGATACCTCGTGAAGAGCCTTCCTCGAGTGGCGTTTGGTCGCAAGCGACCCAACTCTCTGCAGGTCAGGAGCGTATAGGCACAGGCAAAGAGCCTTCCCCGTGTGGCGTATGACCGGTCGCAAGCGACCCAACTCTTTGTAAGTCAGGAGCGTAGAAAGGAACGCGAAGAGCCTTCCTCGTGTGGTGTTTGGTCGGAAGCGACCCAACTCTTTTTACAGGTCAGGAGCGTACAGAGGACATCCAGAATTTGCGAGGGCGTACACAATGTAGGGAGGAGCAGAACGAGGCAGTGCAGGGTAGTCAGACTGCTTGTTTCGCGAGTGCGTTTCTGCTGCGTTCTTGGGGTCCCCTCTGGTAGCTGGGAAGTAGGGTAGCTTGCTCGCGATCTTGTCTGCTTGGGAGGGGTTTTCTTTTGGCCGCGGGATATACAGATCTTCGTCAAGACTCTCACTTACTGGCAAGACCATCACTCACCACCGAGGCCGAGAGCTCTGACACGACCGACAACGTCAAGTCGAAGATCCAAGACAAGGAGGACATTCCACCAGACTAGCAACGCCATCTCCGCCGGCAAGCAGCTCGAGGACGATCGCACACACTCTCTCCGACTACAACATCCAGAAGGAATCCGCCTGCGTGGTGGTATACAGATCTCCGTCAAGACACTCACCGGCAAGACCATCACACTCGAGGAAGAAGAGAGCTCTGACACAATCGACAACGTCAAGTCCAAAAAAAAAAGAAAAAAATGTCGCACGTCCTGCAGTACCATTCCGTAAAGTCCCGCGTCCAGGATGATCTCTCCTCTCTCCAGCCAGAAGATGCATTCAATAAATGCATGTCTTATCTCCAGCGGAGCGTTGCCGAGCACGAGGAAGTGCAAATTGCCATCCAGGTCAGCTATCAGTGGATGGCTCAACATTATCCTGCCCGGCTCCGGAAATGGGAGCAGCAATATGCGCATCTGGATGCGCTGAGAACCATCTGCCGCAATGTCGAGAAGCAACGCAAAGCTCTCGAGCGTTCCACTAGCATGATCTCCGCCAATTGGCCTCTGTGGGACTGGCAAATTCCTAGCGACATGACACCGCCGCATTACTCCGAGAAGCTGCTTCGAGCTCTCGTTGAGCTCTCGAATCTTCTGCCGAAAAGTGATGAAGATATGCAGTGGGCGATCAAAGAAATCGCCCATGTAGCAAAAACTCGCCTGAAGGCGAAGCGAGGACGTCGCACGAAGCATGTCGAGCCCGCGGATGTGCGTAAGGTCATCGACATGGTCGAGGCAGAGACCAGCGACTCGGAGCAGCAGCAGCAAGAGCAAGAGCAAGAGGAGCAGCAGCAGCCACAGCAGCAGGAAGAAGAAGACGGCGCTTCGCCGTCCATTGAGATGGGTCTGAATGGCCCCGACGAGCAGCTTGATATGCCTTCGACTCCTCCAGCAGCTCGATCGAGCTTGAATTCTTCTGGTCCCGGTAGTCTCCATGATACGACAATGCAGCTGATGGAGGACACACAAAGCAGCGAGCGCCCTCAGATCGAGCAGGGCAGCACCATCGCTCTGCTGTTGGCCGTCCTGGGCAACCAGGCTTTGGCAGACACCGCGGCCATCAGGGCCGTATCGCATGATAGAGAGGAACAGAGCGAGAGGATGGCTCGCGGCATGGAGTCCGACGATGCAAGCCGAGAACTTCGGCGCATCTTGGGAGAGACGAGCCTGCCGGCTCATTGGTATAGGCCCGTCGAGCGGCGATTCCAGAATCCGATGGAATAAGTTTTGTAGTTTTGTCTTTGTGTTTGGAGCTTTGATGGATAGCTTGCAGGCTTTGAGAATTCTGTATCTTGATAGTTCCGCATCAAATCACTGACAGCATGCGTTGAGACCATGATTCACTCATTCCATTGTATAACACGACTATTAGCAGGGAATGATTTGCTCCGTCTGCAGTGTCCAAACCCTTTTGCGTTATGACTGTTGATCGATCGTTGCTTGAAAGTTGCCTGCTTATTTCTGCACTTCTGAAGTAGACATTCAATCGACCTCTCTCAGTGGAGATCATCCTCGCACTCAACGACGCACTTTCCAATCAGCTTCATTACCCGGTGCACCAGCTTCGCAGTAGTCCTTCCAGATAAAAAGCAGCGATAGTATTTGTCCGGCCGACCTCTTTCGCAACATACTTTAGGAGAGCCGAAGCTGTCTTGGCCGATTCTCCTCGAGTGACAGAGCCCCAACTCGCAACCTCTGCTCTGAGATGTTCGTCCAGACGTGGAAGTGGTGCGTCTGTGCTGCAAAGTGTATGTACCAGCTCACGCCAAACTCCAGTATCCTCGGGTGAAGGAGGTGGCGGGTTCGAGCTCACGCCCAAGAGCAGTTGAGCCGCGATAGCTGCAAGAGAAGCATTGTCCGCATCAATGGCCGCCCTGTTACCCGTGTGGTCTTCTCCCTCCGTGATACCCATGGGTCGGTAGAAAGTAAGGTCCGAGATGCGGTGAGAAGTCAGGTTGCACGCATCTGTAACAAGTCGTGTCCATTCTCCTCGTAGCTTGTCTGTACCGGGAGAGAAGATTCGCGCAAGCTTGTCTCTGCGGTCGATCCAGATCAGGGTGCACGTCCGCAATGGTGTGTCTGCCTCGCCTATCATGATCAGGCACGAGCGCGGCTCTTCGTTGACATCGGTGTCGGTCAGTTCCTCTGCGTCTTTCTTCTCCTCCAGCTTTTGCGTTCTATTAGCGAATGAGGCGAGGGCTGTGCGAGCAGCGAACGTTCGACTAGGAGGGGCGGTGGCAATGTCGGCTGGTAGAAGCTTGTTGATGAACTGATCGAGCGCTGTCGCATCAATATGGTGAGGTATCGTGCGCTGCTGCATCGCCGAATGCATCGATCGGAGTTCGGTCGGAGTGGCAGTGAGTGTCGGCATGGCTAGATTGGCGTCAAGGTATGGAGGTGTCGCTTGCTCTGCAAAAGAAGTTGTTGCGATTTAAGCCAAGTGAGAAGACGCTGGGTTGCTGAAGATGATGCCGCAGGTCGGCAGGCGACGGCTCTAGCTTGCGCCTTCTGCCGGTTCGACTCTGGCGACCAACGAGCTACACTGGAAGGCGCAGCCAGTCAGTGCAACGGGGTTCCCGTGTACGCGAGAGAACATGCTCATGTTATGCGTCGCTCTGACTGGCATTGATGTCCAGCGCAAATAATCATACCGAGATGTAACAATGTCTATACTGTGCGCCTTCTTCGAGCCCTCACGACTTTCCTGTCTCACGGCTGGGCACCGTGAAGCTTTGTTCCATTACGAGCTCTCCGCCACCACAAGACTAAGTGTTATCTGTGGGCATCCTAATGTGGTCGGGAGTCGGGAAAAGGCCAAGTCAGAGATGACGCCCTCCAGGATTGTCTTGTATCCAGCGTGGTCTTGTTACTACAAGCCAAGTGAGTGCCAGTTCATGGATCTCCGATAAGTGCATGGGAGAGTCGCCAGAAATATGAAAATGCTCAAATATCGAGTGATCTTGAGAAGAGTGCTCTCGTAGTCTGCAAGTACCGCCGCTCGAGTTGTGCAACGCAGACCAACATTATGGCAGCTTGACGGTGAATCGGAACATTGTTGGCTGATGACCATCATACGACGCAGAGGAATGGCCGGCAGCAGTTGAGTGCGCCGGCGTTGCCTGTAACGCATACATGCGGTCGCGTCCCCGTCGCCTTGCTCTCTCGTCGCCGGTTGCAGCAGCTCGACGGCGGTTATAGCGCGGCGAGAGCGCCAAGCGAGGGAGCGGAGACGGCAGGCGGAGGGCGGGGGGGCGGAGGGCGGAGGACTAATAGGGTCAGGGAGAGATACTCAACATCGCCGAGCATACAGGATTGCTCCCCCCCCTCCCCCCATCAGCGGCTCTAGTTCTGTACAGGCGCGCTGTGCATTTCTTTGTCCTTCCTTCGAGGACATTCCAATAGGCGTTTTCCAGGTAGATTTGGAATCCCTCGACTGTTCTCAAACCTTCGGAAGTTATCGGCCGAGCCAGGCGGCATTCATCCCGTCACCCTGTGATAGAGAGGCCCAAACCGACTGTATGAACACCCTTGATCACGGAGTGATCGCGATGCCTCATTCACGGGACAATCTCGTTCGGTGGGCGTCGACCAATGGCGTCTCTCGCTTTTCGCCTCCTCGTCGACGTTTTTGCGGCGGTTGGTAGTGGTATGAATATCTGGCGGGAGTCATTACCGAGGAACGGTTGGATCATGAGCCTGCGACCAAGTCTTTCGCGAGTTGCAGGTCCTGACAGCAAGGCGGCCGAGCGGTCTTTGGAGCTCAATCTGTAACAGTCCAAATGTGTCTTGTAGTAGCCAGGCCACGCAAAGCCGCCTTAGCAGATCTCGCCGGTTCCTGGTCATGTAGATGCGAGCTCCGCCGAGTGTGGAGTTGGCGTCTCGACTCTCCACTAGCTTGTCCACGATTCCACCCTCCTTTCACACCCAGCACCGTCAACCCCATTTCAGTCTTGACAATCTTCTTCATCTTTCCGATCTGCGCCATGCTGCCCTTAACAACAAGATTGAGCATGCGTATCTCCGATGACGCTTGTGATGGCGAAAGCTGCCATCCTGCACCCCTTTCTTAACATATGACCAACTACCGGCCGGATGAGCGAGATTTCGAGAGAGCATGAACAAACTCAGCATCGGCGAAATCCTCATGATCTGCCCGACCGAGCGCACTTCGTTTCTTCTTCGTTTCTTGGTCGGCGTGGCGCCAAAAGCCATCGGGGACCGGGCCGGCAAAGGAGGAGTGATTACCCGGACGGAGAGACCAGGCATGGTACCATCAACGGCGCTCCTTTTGTACAACGTCGTGAAGCTCGAGCAGGAACCATCTTCGCACTGTAGGCCCGAATGCTTTCGGAGAAGTACCATCGGCACGAGGACCATGATGAATTGGAACCCGTCGCCCCGCTCGAGGAGATTTTGTAAAACTTTGCAGATAGTGGCTTGAGGATGGCGTACCAACGTCAGTCAGCTTCGTATAACCCACGTCTGTCAGTTCACATGCCTGCCTTGCCTTTACAATGCTCCTTCGCTACTCCAAATCGTCCTCTGGCGAGCGCTTGACAGGTGCCCATACCCGCTGCAGGTCGGGGTGAGCGAACTTGACCAAGTGTTGCTAGAGCAGCTGTGGCCATGTCAGCATCAAAATCACCTTGAAATTCTTCCAGGATCTCGGCAGACACAAGAAAAGTTCCACGCACGAAGCTCGCCGTAGGCGATGAAGCAACTGGAGCCAGCATTGTCGACAAAGTCCTCTGCCTGACATATGTAGCCGGATCATGGCACGAAAAGAGGTCATCATGAAGGTCTGTGCAACGTTGATATCCGTCATGAATGACTGGAGTTCTTGTGCATACCATCGCGCTCCTGGTGGAAGCCCACGAATGGGCGGATGCTCTCGATAGTGACGTGGTTGAACGTAAAGGACGGGTTTGGATCATGGTCGTGCACGAATCTGGCGTAAGACGCGCGTTGCGTGCCTATGAGCTTTCCAACTGGTAGCGCTCTGCATCTCAAGGTCGCTGGGGATCGTCGATGGCCGAGCCCTGCTTCGATAGGATGTGACGCCGTCGAGATCGAGGGAAGGGCGGTCAACCTCTTCAAGGAAGACCCGATTGGTAATGCAGCCGGGTTGTTGCGCCTCTGTACGACGTGAATACGAAGACCGGCCAGAGCATCGGAAAAATTGCTGCACTGCTAAGGCGTCGGAGGATGGCCGCGGTCCTGGTCCTTTGCGTTCCATGGTGTTGCTTGCTGCGATCTTCTTGTGCTTCTTCTGCCTGATGGGATACGACGCCGCTACGTGCGTTGCTCAAGATGGCGGAGGAAGGGCAGACTCCGGCACTTCTGCTGTTTCGATGCCGTTACTTCACTTAAGGAGACTGTGCTGGGCGTTGGTGATGGCATTGTAATCAAGGTCGAGGTTGCGCCCTCCCGCTGATCCCGATGCAGGTCCTTCGAGCCTGCGCCATGTGCCGATTTCGCTGTTGAAACTTGACTCGAGTTTGTCCGTGATTCTGTAGTGCTCTTCGAGAAATCGGAAGGCGCATTGTCTAGAGCATGCTTTGGCCAGTCTCACTGAGTACATTGATATTCGCTGTCGGGAGCGTCTGGTCCTGCTCAATGTCGACTCCATAGAGTCTCTCCTGTATTAGCTCAATGTTGACTCTCCTACGCGCTGGCGCAGTATCATTTGTGCTCGCTTTCTTGTCAACGCCACTACCTTTCCCATCAGCTCCCGTGGCTGGGGCTTTGCCTTGTGCCGTGTATTGTAGCGACGCTCGAGTACTTCCTCCGTGCCATGTCATTTTGCGAAGCGGATGCGGAGTCTGCTCGAATCTCTAGTAGTTGGGGTCGTGCGGCATGCGGCATATGGCTCCGATGGATTGTGGCCTACACAATGCAGCGCCTTGCCGCTGGTTACCTCGCCTCGTAGTGGCATTGCCCTCCTTCGCTATATTAGAAGAGCAACCTTGATTCGGATGACCGGTCTCTTTGGAAGGGGGAGCGTCCGGCACTTGCTATTCATGACATTGATAGCATCTGAACCGGGGTCGATGTTCTGATCCCAGGCGAATTAAGGTCGCGTCCTCATCGTGGTCGGAGTAGGAGTGCCATACTGGCGTAGCGGCAGAGGGCGAGCGTGATATTCCGAGTCTGTGGAGCTTCAGAGGAGCAAGTGAAGTGTGAATGTGGACTGCAATTTCGAAGTTCCGCTTAGATAACATCAGGTCTTCGACATCGCTTGGACAACGCTCCCGATGTCTTGATATCCCTTTCCTTGGTGATAGCCAGTGCAACTACGGCAGGGCAATGCTGCGTATGCGGTTGCTGTTAAGCGACGATGTAGACAGGGAATTTCAGCGCCACTCAGCACCATCGTTCAGATGTCATCGATTTCAACGAGGGAGTTAAGTAAGCATACGTGCCACGGCATCGAAAACTGGCAATTTTCTTGCAATCTGTCAACAGTGGCGGGTGGCGGCTCCGGAGCTTTGCGATGGCGGTTGGATGGAAATCACAGATTGCTACTTCGGTGTCTTCTGCCTCAAGTATGGCATACTCGAACACTGGAAGTTGAAGCTCTGCCGGTTGGTCAAGAAGCCGACTTGTCTCAAATCCTCTGGGCAGCTCCCCAAATTACAGCAGCTCCCCATCATAACCCATTTTTACGTCAATAACGTAATTGGGACCGGTCCGCCACGGATTTCTGCACTCTCTGGACGCGAGGCTGATGCACTATCCAGCTGTTACTGAGGGACTTGGCACGGTGCTGCGCCATCGGTTTTCTCGCTGAATCCGCGAATTCGATTCACCGAGTCTAATGCCCCCATAGTCGTGGTCGGTACACACCTCAGTGTGAACGCTTCGCCCGGTGCTCACGATCTGGGGATCGGATGTACGGGCCGAGGCTACCCGCTCGTTGCCGGGCCAGAGCACCCCGCTTAACATGGCTTGCGCCCAGCAACCTGCTCTTCAAGTTCAACTGTTAGTCCACCACCTCTAATCTCGTCTCCATCACACGTCGACTGCGCTATCATCAACATCTATTCCTTCCATCCCATGTGGCACGATACTGCCATCGAGCTCTGGCTACAGCAAGTGTCGGGGCCGGGTCCTACTTTTCCACCCGGGCGCAAGCGCGCGCTCACGGAGATGAGCGGCAACGCCAGAACACCTACCACCAAGCGCTTCAAGACACAGCACGACTTCAACATCCTCTCCGATGCCGCCGGTGACGAGCAACCCGATCAAGCGACCCCAAAACCTCTAGCAGGCTCTGCGCTCAACGTCATCCCAGAATTTGAGCAACCTTCTCCCCCGAAGAGTCTCCCCTCCCGCGCCTCGTCGTCGCACGCCGACCTTAGCAGTGGTCATGTTAGTGCCATATCCTCCAGAGGGTCCAAACGAAAACAACCCGGTGACCCGCCTTCCAGCCGATCTGCCAGTCCCACGAAGAGAACTTTGTTTGACAGTCACGTTACCAGAGATTCTTTGCCGAATCTTCTTGAGATCCCAGGAGCGTTTGGCCAGCTTGCGAGAGCAATGGACGGTGTATCAAATGGTTTTGCTGTACTAGCTACGCGATTCGACGGTTGGTATAAAGAGCTATCCACTGGACAGACGGCAAGAGACAGTTTGATGTTCGAGGATGAAGGAACTCGTACTCGCGCACGCCTCGGCGATGACCCACCGCTGTCTGAGGTTCTCCGCCTTCGGAAGAGAGCGAAGCGCAATGCTCGCATTCTGTGCTCCGAGCCTTCTTGGAACTCATTCGTACATAGCGTCGTGTTAGATATGGCTGTGCGACTATCAACATATCACGAGCGGGTCATTTGCGAAGACATGTACGCCGCGGTCTCAAGTGCCACAAATTTGAGGAAAAATGCTAATACTTTCGCAGTACGAGAGCTCCAATCTCGCAGGCCGAAGTCGAAAACCCTAGCCAGCGCATTTCGAAGCAGGTGGACTATTGTATAGCTCTAGAGCTCGAGGATGAACTCCTTGTAGCTCTTCGCGACGCAGGAGTCAAGACTCTAAACCACACGCTTGATTTCGGTGTCGCCTTTAATCCCATTTCTGTTAGCATCGAAACCAAGCCGGCAAGCGAAAACGGTACAGAGGGCACGTTGCAGCTGCAAACCTGGGCTCAGGCGCAGATGGATTTCCTCCGCAGTAGGCTCCACAAAGCAGGTCGATCGCATGTATCGCTTCCGATCTTACCGCTCGTTATGGTTCAAGGACACCAATGGTGGGTCTATTATTTCGTGGAGCATCCAAGGTCCGCCGGGCAAGCCAGGATCAAGCAGTCACTATATACCGGGCACCTCTTCGGAAGAACAGATACGACGCTTGGTATCTATGAGCTCATTGCTGGGCTGCATCACCTCATCGAATGGAGCGAGTGTCAGTATCGTCCTTGGTTTCTGGAAAACATCCTTTATCCAATCCTCGACCCACAGCCTTAGCACCCTGCTGCTGTAACGTGAGGGATGTGGAGATTGTATTCCTCGCGGCATCAGGTAATTGTAAGGAGGGGGACTCTGAATAAGCTCAAGCTGAAGGGAAATCTAGGCATATAATGGCGTCAAAGCACTTGTATCGATTTGATATGTGCCGCAGAAGATATGTACAGAGACCGTCTACTAACAATGGAAACGCCAGTGCTCTCGACCTCCTCGGATTCAGATAAGATTTCCATTGGCCCTATCACCAATCTCCATCAATCTCGTTCACGTGGCTGATAGCTATCGTGAGAGCGACACAACAATCACAGTGGCGATGATAATAATGTTACTCCCACATATTGCAAATCGGGTCACCTTTCTCCAGCTTCTTCCAGACCTACTTACGCTCCAATCTGAAGCTCTACCGAAGCTTTTCATTTCGACGTAAACAGGCCACCTCACGCTCCCGAGTCGTGCACTGGCATTGGCAAGCGTGTGGAGAAGCGGGTGGAGAAGCGCGTGGAGACTCGGAAGCACGTGGAGAAGCTTGGCTGCGGGCCGGTCTCCGCACCCCGTCGTCGGGCTCGGCCCGGTCACAGGTCATTGCCTGCTGTCGCTGGAACACGGACTGCTTCGACGAGAAATGCGATGATTCGTGACCGATCTCGATTTACACCGTCTCACCTCCAAACTACGTCTCCAACATCAATGCCGAGGACGATGTGAGCAAGGTCATATGGTTCATTGATAATACCAACAAGATTATCAGCTCAGCACCGGTTCACAAGTTTACCGCCAAACAGCAACGTATTCAGAGCACAGGGCAACATTTCCGAGCACCTCACAAGCAGCGATTCATGCACGAAGGCGACTGGCAGCAACTCTGAGTGACAGCAGCGACCGGCATCATCCAGAGCACAGCCGCCTCTACCAACACGCATTCTGGGCGTCTCCTGTTAGGAGAGCAGAACCAGATGGAAACCATACAACGCCGGTGCTCAGAGAGACTGCGATTCTACGCAAGCACACTTCTAAGAGCGACGGGCAGGAGGCAGCAAAATACTACAAGGACAAAGGCACGCACGGACTAGGCCATCGTTTCAGAGATACACCCACGCTCACGACGACGAATACCACATCTCACGTGCCACGCTCTCAACCCAGCGCAAAGCGACGAGAGTCGAAGGCAGCACTCTCCATCCCAGAGGCTAGCGACGAGCGACAGGCGACCGTGCAAGAAACGGAGGCGTACAGCGTCGCCACTCTGGAACTTCCTATCCGCCGAGACAACGACTTTGAAAACCGCAGATAGTCGACGAGTATCCGCGCGGGCTGCCACGTCGACTCACGGGCAAAGCGGGGCAGACGACAGGGGCAGAGGGCACAGTAGTAAGTAGTCTGAGCAGGCCAGCATCGCATTCGCGCCTACCACGTCCGCCTTGGTAGAAGTTCGAAGCAGGTGAAGAACACGACATTATCGAGCGCTCAGCACGGCGTAATTCGGCAGCCTTAGCGTACACACAAACGACGCTAGGTCTCAGCAATGCGGCAGGCAGTGGATACACAGCTCTCAATCACCAGCCCGCAACCCTGTCACAACATTTCTGCGAACAGCGACATCTCACAGTACAGAGACACAAAGCTCACCACCTTCAGCACTATCAAGCACAGAACAGCGTCGCATGTGAAGTCTCGGCATTGACGGCTGGAGGTACCGGATGGTGCTGGATGGTGAAGGAACTGGTGGAGGGACTGGTGGTGAAAGAACTGGAGATGAAGGACTGGAGCTGCTGGACGGTGCTGGATGATTCAGGGTTTGCTGGAAGATGAAGGGTTCGGGGAATGATAAAGGGGCTGGTGGATGATAGAGGGTCTGGAGGATAATAATGGAACTGGAACTGCGAGACTGCAAAAACTTAGCCCCCCTTAACTCTCTCGACTCTGGCTACACCAGCTACAGAGGGGCTGCTAGATGGTGAAGGAACTAGAACTGCCAGACTGCAAAAACTTAGCACTCTTTAACTCCTGCGACTTTGGCTACACTAGCTACAGACAAGGTCATTGACCTCCGCGGTTAGGTGATTTCGGCCTGTTAAGACAGGAGAAGCATCATAGTACCAAGAAACTCGCTGTAAAGCTGGTTTTAGGAGCTATTATCCTCAGCGAAAGCAATTACAGTTCTCCTACAGTTCCCTACAACAGGCCGAAGCCCTTGATCGGTTTTGGTTCATGATCTGGAACTGATCGGTTTTGATTCATGATCTGGGACTGATCGGTTTTGCTTCATGATCTGGAAACCCCGTTATAGACCAGGCGACATCCTGAGGCTCTTTGGATTGGGGTAGCGGTGATAGAAAAGCACAACCCGAAGGACTGCTAATGTTGCGACCATCAAAACAATTCAGCGTTAGGCGCAAGCGCACTAAACACTTGCCATCACCACCAGCCCGAGTCACTAGCGCTCGCAGTATTTAATACATACCCTTGAGCGACAGCGAGGTGAGGTATGCCGTCAGCGATATGGTAGCAAACGGCGGCAGCGGTAATAGTGGTGAAAGCAGGCTGCATGTGAAAGTCTTGGCATTGGCTGGAGTAAACCACCCGCCTACCTCCTTAGTCTCAAAAGATGGCCACACAGCCGTCGCCGGAACCTGCGATCGTAATCACGGCACATGCCAACCTCAGCGACCCGCAGCCGTTCGTCGGCAGTCAAGGCGGGGATGCAGAGATTATAGGAGCCAAGTCACCGCCACCGACGCAACGTCATTACGGACATATCAACTACGCGGACACAACATTAGCAACACCTTAGTAACCCTTGTATGGACTCTGGGTAGAGCAGCAGTACTAGCAGCCGTTACGTCACTACTATGCTCCGTATTCACAGGCGCCTCCACAGCAACGTGCTATTTCGCTCCGGAGCGTTTTCTAGCGACAGGCCAAAAGCCAAGCGAAGGCATGCTAGCGATTATCTGGATAGGTATAAAGGGACGGAATTCCCCTTGTACTTCGTCAACCACGTGCACATCCTGGTGCAGGAGATCTTCCTCTACCGGTTACAAGTCGGTCGCTCTAAGCAAGACCTACCTCCCAAGTTAGACCCGGCAATCGAGGATAATTTTTGTCGGCAGAATCCTCTTTGGAGCATCTCCGGGCCCGGACAAAAGGTCGTTCCGGCGCTGCGTCTAAGAAGAAGGTAGAGCAAGACGAGCAACGGAGAGTCGGACGAACGAATTTCCAGAGTCTACCATGGAGCCAACAGCGCCGCCTATCGCTCAATCGTGTACCGAGCTGTGGATTTGGCCATAACGAGCTCAATGAACTGCCTGTCTAGTATTACGAGGCCTGTGAGAAGCCAAAGCAGTGGGATCCAACCAGCGACCCTACTCGCTCGCTAAACGACTGTATTAATGGATTCATAGCCTACTATCCCCGTTATAACAACCCCTCTTTACAAACGTTAGGGCATCCGTAATCACACAAAGGCCGAAGGCGAGCGCGATATCCTGTCACAATTGGAGCAGTCGTTCCTGTAGGAGCTCGTTCGTGCCTGGCAGAAGAGCCACAGCGCAGATATCCGCGCACGCGAGCAACAAAAAGCCGCCCAAATCGGTCAATCTCGAGCTTAGGCCTAGGACCAAGGCAATGGACAGGGATGTACCACACCTGCTCTCCCTTTAGAGGTATTCCCTCCACGCCCGCCAACACCGGGGCCCCCTTAGGACAGTAATACTAAGCAAATATAGACGAGATTGAGGTGGATCAGATGTCGAACGTGCTGCGCAGTGCTAAGAGCTGCAAAACATAGCACAGACTCTACTCAATCGAATCCGCGTAGGGGAAGACAAGCAAGGAGAAGCTAACACTGTAGAGACATATCTACGTCGATTGTTTGGATAGAGGATTTAGTCTTCTTTTTATTTTCTAGTCTTTAGCGATCTGGGGACAGCCGCACTCTTTCGGACTATAACAAACAGCGATCTTTATTAACACCCTTACTAGCGAGACGATTACCCTTATATTAAGAGCTCCGAGACTATCGACAACGTTAAGTCCAAGACCTAAGACAAGCAGGGGACTATCACGAGCAACAGCATTATTACTAGCAGTAGCAACAGTAGTAGCAGTACTCTCTCCGACTATAATATCTAGAAAGAGTCATAGCTTGCGTGAGTTCTACTCGTAAAGAGTATCTACAAGTAGATTGGGCTATCGGATAACGATCGATCCTAGGACAGATTAATCTTTGCTAATTGTTTTTTTTTTTCGATAAACAACACTGCTACATTCGACAGCCTTAGCTAGAGTATCTTCACTTATTTTGAACGGCTCTGGAATCTAGACTAGTAGTAGGCGGAAGCATTCGTGTCTTCTTTCGAACACCGCGGTACGCTAGAGAGCAATCGGGCCTCGTACCGTTCACAGCTTAACCGTTTAGAAGCTGTACAGAGGTAGTCGGTAGAGAGCTATATGTCTGGAATAGATAGGAAGCTACCGAAGGGTCGTACACCGTTAGGTAGAATAACGAATTGTTGCTAGAGAAGCTAGTTACGCTAGCGAGGCTGCGTCGTAGAGTCGCTTAGCGGCATATTGCTCGGGAGCCTACAGCGCAATACACGGAAAGGTTGAGAGCCACTACGAGTAAGCATGTTACCCTAGTACTAAGAGACATCTCGATGCCCTAATCGAAGATGTTTGCAAGCCCCGTCCTCCTTAGGCGAGCAGGTCGGCTACTACTACCGCCGCTACTACTGCGAATGCTACTATATCGTCTAGCATCTTCGTGACGGAATCAGGAGCGCTCGAGGCCGCCGACGCTAACGCCGGGGACGAACATAACGGAGACTATCTATCGGGCAAGGCTTAGGCGAGAGTCAAGTATAAAAAGCAGAACCACTACTAGTCGACTCTTCCTTTCATTCCATACTCGACAATTCCTTGCTATCTAACGAATCCGCACCAGATACGGACCGCGGATCGTCAGCCACACCACTACTATTACCTCCTACTCCTTTAGCCGAGGAGGGAAATGGGAGCCCTCTCTCTACCTCGGAAGAAGAGGAGAGGAGAGACTCCTTATCCGCAGTCCGTAAGAAGCGACGAGTTCGGAGAGAGAATACCACCTCTCGCATTCGAGCAGTAGGAACTCGTCGATTCAAATCGACCGGGAAGAAGTAGATGCATTGGACAGGCATTAGGCCCGGAAGCTTCCGAGTAGGATCTTTTAGCTACACGGAAGAAATTGGATCATACCAAGGAGTCTATGTAGCGCATAAGAAATATGTCGGAGCACTTCTAAGGCCGTTTGTTATCTTAGCGGTACATTGTTATTTTGAGAAGTACTCTCCCTCGAGGGTTCAAAGTTTTTTATTACTTACATTCTATCCTGTCGGTAGATTGAGAGGAAAAGGCTCCCGGTCCATTTTTCCGTTCGTAAAGCCTACAGATCTGCGGCCGATATTGCGTCCTAAGCGGATGACATATGAATTTCGTGCGTTTTGTGAGGACCTTCTTCGATTTGAACGTGGAAATAGCAAGACTCTCCAGACACGATGGAGCTAACGAACTTTAAAGGGAGCTGGCTAGACCTATGGATTAGATACGCCGATAGTATCACCGCAAACTGTCCTCCTCAGCGAACTTATTCGGATATTAGTAGCGACTCTTACTTCCTGCCCTAGCACTCCCAGTTCAATCTCGAACCTAAGGGTTGCGTTTGGTTTCAACCCGAGAGATCGCTCGAGACGAAGTTCATAGACAATCGGTTGAAGGGTATCGGTATGCCACGCACTCAAAAGCTAGAGACAGTGTCTCTCTCCCGTAATTAATCGAAGTTGCCCGAACGGAGCGGCGCCGTAAGGAAAACAAGCTATGGAGATCGGCTACCATGCTATCGCCGCTTCGTCCGAGTCTACCTATCCGTAGTTTTCTCTTCGTCTAAGGCGGGGTCCAGGTTCCCGTGATATAAACGTCCGTTTACTAATCTTAGTGTCTGTGACAGGCACTGCAGTGCGCGCGAAGCTAGGCTCTTCTTCCCGCCGAGGTACATATCGCATATTATCTTAACTAGACACTGATTTCTCGGTGCGCCACCGCTGCGCCAGTTCCTTGGCTCTGTGGTAGAGTAGAGTGATTGCGAAAGAAGGTTGGTTACTGTACGGATATTAGCTACCTGGAGTCTATCAAGATAGAAGTAACGATAATTGGAGCTAAAGGGTACTGCTGTCGGAGCCCTTCAAGGACGCTGACTCCAAGGTCGCCGGCGAAAAGGGCCGGAAGCACCGAACGATCATTAGATGAGCCTCCGATAGATAGAGCCCAGCGGTGACTAGCATACAGACAGCTCAAAATGGCGCTAGCTCTCCCTTAGGAAGGAGAAGCTGCAGCTTTCCAGAGAGGCCGATACTAGATTAAATAGATTGTCCAGACCGACTAATAGGCACATCGACACCACATCTTATTGCAAAGTGCGGCATTAGCTCTCCTGCTCTTCGACTACGGCGTAGCCGTTTCAACTTCTCTGTAGCTGTTGCGAAGCAGCATCTGACTTGGGTTGTAATGCTTTAAACGAGCCCCTCGCGCTAGGTCGTGATGGCGGTCACGGGAGTTGTCTGTCGTTCTGCAGTTGTTGCGTAGCAGCATCTGATTTGGACCGAGCCCCTCGCTCTCGCTTTGGGTTATGATGCCGGTCGCGGCAGTCGTCTGCTGTTCTGCAGTTGTTACGCAGCAGCATCTGATTCGGAGCGAACCTATCGCTTTGGGTCGTGATGGCGGTCACAGGAGTTGTCTAGCAGCTCTTTTGGACCAGCATCGTCGTCATCTGCGTGGCGCTTCTGTAGATATCCAGGCAGCGAACGACGATTCTTGCTGTTTGTTGGAATTCAAGTTCCGTCGATGGCAACAAAACTGCCGCCGCCGCCATATTCCCCGTGTTCGTCTTCGAGATCAGAGTCAATGTCGAACTCGTCACTGCCGCTGCCCGGGCAGGGGCCAGAACTTCCTCACCGATCACCCAAATCAGGCGATTCCACTTCTCCCTCGCCGACCCACCGCGAATACCGGAACTGCTCCCGCTCTGTCGTCGAGTCTCACTTCCAGGAACGCACCACATCCCAGCCGTGCAGCCACTGTAGCCAATGCTGGGGATCCGACGAATGGCACTGGAGGAGAACTTGAGAACAGAGAAGCCGAAGACGAAGCAGGAGAGGACATTGGTAAAGAGACTGCAGTTCGTACCGCGACCAGGGTATTCCACCTGTCTTTAGGTTGTAGTGCGCCGCGAGCGCGGTTAAGAGGCGAGCAAAAGGTTGAGCCTAATGCAAGAGGAATAGGGGACCATCGGAGCCTAGCACTGCGTAACATACCGTCCAGATGGCCCTCACTTTTGCAATGGTACACTTCATACTAGCAATGTGTTCGACGCCATGAGCTATGGCACTGTTTGAAGTCGCGATGTAACGCTTTCCATGGTCCGGAAACAGTGTAGGCGGGCGGGTTTGACTGTGTCGCGAGTTCGCGAGTTATCCGCAATCGATGGGCGAGGGAATGTTACCATTGCGGCAATGAAAACACTGTTCCCGGCGTACGCCAACTCATGTGCACGATTCGTTTTTCCCTACTGAGCTGCACCAGGTAGCCTCACGTTCCATACTGTTCTACTCGAGGTGATGTACGAGTCTGAGATTATTCCGGACGCGGACTGACGCTTTGGTCTGTCGGGCGACGTGCGGATTTGTACAAGTACTGCCGGACCATAGGTCTTGCCAGACATGGACGCCTCCAAAAGAGCTGCCCTAAAGAGGCGTGCCTTGAACTTCAGGTATGAGACGTTGACCAAGAGACTTCTGTATAAGTATGGCTCCTCGTGGGCGATATGGAAGTTGGCCCTCACCTCCCGAGGGTGCACGATAAGCAGGGACATTTCTCAGCCAAAATCGTTTAGGACAAACTGCGATCCAAGGGATACTGGCCCTTCGTGGCAGGTAGATCCAAGGCTGTATCCAGTATGCACGGTCTGCTAGCGCTTCAAAATCAGCGCCACTGTGCCCAATCACTGCTATGGTCCCTTGGCAGCTGTTCGGCATGGATTTCGTGGGACCATTTCCAAGGAGAAGAGATAGATCGCGGTACATTTGGCATTTGATCGACTATTTCAGCAGATTCTCTATTACTAAGGCCACACCAGGCTGCAAGCCAGAGACTACTATCTCTTGCATGGATGAACTCGTACGGGTGTTGACCACGCCTGCCGCTAGCTTCGTGGATGCTAGCACACACTTCGATACTAAGCAAGTTAAGTGGCGCCGAACGTCTGGATCTATAACGCTGAAGGCCGGAGGGCTGGACATAAGCGCCGAGAGAGAGTGCGTTCAGACACTGTGTTACAACGGCTGGTTGGATCATCCATCGATACACGACTCGTTGCGAGGGTTTCCTAGTTCCTCTCACAGAGATACGGCCATCAGAGACAGCAAAATGTGGGATTCCCCGACCCAGATAGGCCGGGCCGTCAAGGAGATGCGACTCACTCCGTGTCTTGTAAAACTTCAGGATAGAGAATTCCGAGCAGGAGTGTCGGCGACCACGTTATTGGCGGTACCTTCGATCTCTCATAGGCACTTTCACACTGTGAGATGCCGCTCTTCAGCCTAACATATCTTTTCGCTTTTGTCGAAAGATACATCTCCGCGTCTTGAGGTCTTGGTTGCAGAGGAAGTTGGCGACTGCGAGGGTTTCAGGCTTGGGCGGGACAGGTTGGACGTTGCTGAGCTTGTGCTTGGTGTTGTGCTTGGGCGGGCCAGATTGGATGGGTTGTGCCATCCCCCGCTGCATTTGCTGCTGCTAAGCTTGTTGCTAAGCTTGTGCTTGTCGCTGAGCTTGTGCTTGTCGCTGAGCTTGTGCTTGTCGCTGAGCTTGTGCTTGTCGCTGAGCTTGTACTTGCTGTGGTGCTTAGGCGGGCCAGGTTGGACGGGTTGTGCCGTGCCTTGCTGCATTGGCCGAGTTTGTGCTTGTTTCTGAGCTTGCGCTTGTTGCTGAGCTTGTGCTTGTTGCTGAGCTTGTGCTTGTGCTCGTCGCATGTACCGTGCCTTCACGAGCTGGACGTACTCGGGTATACAAGACCAGCCTTTGAACATTTGTTGAATTTGCTCGGGCGTGGGCTACTAGTCCGGCTGAAGGGTGGAAGAGCGGGCGTTGCTGATTTGGTCGTGGCGATCTGTTGTTAAATTTATTGAATCTGCTCGGGCGTGGGCTACTAGCCCGACTGAAGGGGTGGAAGAGCGGGCATTGCTGATTCGGTCGCGGCGATCTGTTGTTGCATTTGTTGTTGCGTTTGTTGAATCTGCTCGGGGATGGGCTATTGCCCCGGCCTGAAGCGGTGGAGCAGCGGACATTGCTGGTTCGGTCGCGGCCATCTGTTGTTGCATTGGTTGAGTCTGCTCGGGCGTGGGCTGTTGTCACGGCCGAAGCGGTGGAAAAGCGGACATTGCTGATTCGGTCGCGGCGATCTGTTGTTGCATTTGTTGAATCCGCTCGGGCGTGGGCCGTTGGCCCGGCTGAAAGAGCGGGCATTGCTGATTCGGTCGCGGCGTTGCAGTGGGTTGAAGTAATTGGTGGTGGCGGCTATCACTATGTTCGGAAACTATGCTCTCACCAGCAGCGATTTAGACTGGTGCTATCTGGCCTGAGTAGCAGGAGCAGTCTGTTTCTCCTTTTCAGCCTCTTACTGGGGTGTGTCCTCGAAGGCAGCATCATCTGGGGTTGGGCGTGCTCGCAGTTTGCCGCTGCTCTACGCCTCGAGTTGCGACCAATCTGGGGGAAGCTTGGTGGAGGTAGTAAGACGAGTACTTCGCCTGGCACGACGGCCTTTTCCACCACTCGAAGCTTGGAGGGCATCCGTTCATATCTCGCGTGGTTTCCTTTTGGTGTAAATTGTGCCGGGCAAGAAGCGCTCTCGTGATCTCCAGACATGCAAATGCAAGCCGCTGCTGTATGCCTCCCTTTGGCACCATCGTCTTTGTCACCAATGTAAAGTCTCCTGCGTTTAGCGGCGGCTGAATTGCTAGAAGCCTGACCGTAACACCCTCGCGGCGCAGGCTCTGACTTCCAGCGGTCCTGCTGCCTCCGTACCGCACGAGCGTTGGACGTACTCGCAACGTTGTGATAGAACAGTGCCACGTGCGGTGAGCCAGTCGTGAGCAAGGCCATTGTGGAGCAGAGGAGGAACTCGAGCTCGCTGATGTATCCGTGAGCAACTGAACCGATGCGGTGGCTGCCAAGAGGAGGATGATAATTTGGTGGCTGGAGCGATGGAGGACTGCATGTAGTTGTAGTAGGAACAGCGACGGCTCCACTGGATGAGATTGTAGTAGGGCCGAGATGCCTTCCAAAGAAGTCGACATACGCTTCTGCGATCCCATCCGCAATTGCAGACAGATTATCCCAATCATGTCCAGCCCAATCATGTCCAGCTCGCTCGTTGTGTGCTCCTTGTCGTAATTGCCGGAGCATCAAAGACCACACTCATGTCCAGCCCACCTCATGTCCAGGCCAGCCATGTCCAGCTCAACCATATCTAGCTCAACCATGTCCAGCTTAACCATGTCCAGCTCAACTATGTCTAGCTTAACCATGTCCAGCCCAATTGTCATGTCCCCCTTATCGTGATGGCCGGAGCATCGAAGATCAGACTCATGTCCAGCCCAGCCATGTCCAGCCCAGCCGTGTCCAGCCCAGTCATGTCCAGCCCAAATTTTGTGTCCTCCCCATCGTGATGGCCGGAGCATCAAACATCACACTCATGTCCAGGCCAGTCATGTCCAGGCCAGTTATGTCCAGGCCGATTGCCGGAAGTGCATCGGTCCTCGGAAACCATACGAGCTCATCCCATCGTCGATACCACCGGTCCCAGGCTTCATCTGAGATCTTGTTATCCTCTGGAGCCCCGATACACGATCGTAGCTTGCAAGCCAACATGCGGAGTATCTGAGGAGAGAGTACTTCCGGTGAGCTCCAATTACCAAGACAAATCGAATTCTTACCAGGAGGATCAAGCCCTGCCAGGAGGATCCAGCACGCAGGTAGTACGGCATCACATCGCAAACGCTTCGCCTTCGAATCGCCGTCTCCTTTCATCCTCCACTACAGTAGGGTTGTTCCGCATCATGTGTCATACTCAGTTATGGATTGCACGAAGAAATCGGGGCAATGAGCGATGTCAGGGATATAGGGCGCCGATTGTGGATGAGTTCGAATGCTTCATACCGCAGTTCCGTCTGCAAAGTGCCGTTCATGAAGACCCGGAAAAGAAGAACATCTCCAAGAAAGATGAAGTCCGGCGGCCCCTGCACAGACATGGTGTGTAGTGATTGGTACATTCGGTGCGATCTCGATGTACCTGGTACCGGTATTCGGCTCCGAATTGTGTTCTAGCGGGCCCGCATACTCATGTGGTTTTTGCATCCTTCATTCCTGCAGTAAAGAGCACGCCAATCAGCAAAGCCCGGCCGATGTGAAATATCAATTACCAGCACGCCCCAGGCCTAGCATTCCAGGGCAATGTCCTCCTCGCTTCGTATTGTAGCCACGCTTTCGACGTTTCCCCCTTTGGCTCTCACTTCCATCGCTCCCTCTTCTGATGTATAACCGGTATTGAATGGACGCCTTCGTAGCCTGCGCCTTGCAATACCTGCGGCAATGTTTGTCGTAAGGGTCAGAACGGGACTCGCGAGGTGGCTTGCGGGCGAGAGTCTAGTAGGGCGGCGTTCAGGCTTGGACAACGATCGCAGTGTGAGGCGGGAAATCGATGTGGATACTGCTAAGGGCGCGACACTGGCAAGCAAATCATTAGTACGTGTATGCACATTGTTGGCGATGAATCGATGTGAGAAGCGGTAGCATGGGCGCTGCGCACACCGCACACCGCACACCTCCAGCTTCAATGAGTACCAGACGCAAGCAACGCGAGACTCTTGGGAGCACGGCGGCCTGTCGAGACGGTAGCAGACTTTGTCGAGAGATCAGGAAATTTCGAAGACGTTGTTACACGAGGCGTCGAGGCGTGAGGGCGACATGCTGGGTATGCGATATGCTTCGAGGCGGAAACTGTGGAAGATGAGAGTCGTCGGGCGGCGGTAGTGACGAAGAAGGGTTTGGAGGAAGAAGCTGAGCCGAGCTGAGCTGGTGCTGAGCTGCACTGCTTCCCCCGCGCAGCTCGCAGGCGCACAGACGAGTTGTAACCGCAATGCCGCCAAGCCACAAGCCGTCTGCGAGCAGTGACGTACATCAACATAACGTGTACCTGGTACACACGTGTCGCGGACCGATCCGCTCCCGAGGTCTCATCCGCAATTAACACTCCGCCGTCCACCGCGACTCCCATGTTTCGCCCGTGTGCGTGCATCGACATGTCACCGGTCGGTCGGTCGAGGGAACGAGAATGAACTCCCACTTCACGCGCAACTACCTTTCGGGACAGGGTAGGCACATTTCCTACCACAGGACCTGGACAACGTAGCAGTATCTGGAATAGCTTCCCTCGCGAAAGCCAATCCCGCCTACCCCGGAGACAGACACGAATGGCGGATCGGAGTCGTACCCGAAGGACAGACAGGCCTCCCTGACGAAGGTGGACCGCATGTGATGGATTAGGTGTTACTCATAGGCAGGAGGGACTCGTTAAGAGCAGAGACGATATTATGGCGAGAGTCTGCCACGGCGGATGGAGGCACCTGTGTAGGGCGCGGAGAAGGTATTCAGAATGCGGGCTGCGGTATCAAGTGCGGGTAAGAAAGATCCAGCACAGGAGAAGTTCATACCTTGATACTGTACCGAAAAGCTAGCGGCGCGAAGTGGAGCTCGGAGCCTATCGTCCCACACGCGTCTCGGAGAATCAGCGGGCTGGCCAAGGCCGCAGGCGGGGTGACTGTCTGGAACGGCAAGGGATCTCTCTCACCACGAGGGAAGGGGAAAGGTCAAGGGTGATTGATTGCAAAGTTATAGTAGCAGTGTCGTAGCCTCCCTCGTATCATCCGTACAGACTCTCGTCCAGCCTCGCGCTTCCCAGACCAATTCTGCCACACCTCCAGTCCTACCTGGTACTTTCTGAAGCCTCGTCCATCTCTATACCTGAAAGATCATCCCATGTCACCTGTAAAGAGGAATTGGCTGTGTATGATACGTAGATAGCGAGGAAGAATGCGATGTGCGTGATTGCATGTTCCGGCTATGTTCCCACTACTGCAGGCGTAGAAGTTCTTGCGAAACTCAGGGAAATCGGTCGTATGATCATCGTGCGACTCTTGCATAACCCGCTGGATGGCAATCCCACCCTCGTGCCCTCAAAGGGACCGTTCACAGCAGCGGTAACCCATACCCCGGTGTATTTCACAATGCCCCAGATCCAATGTTTCCCGGGAATTGCCTTGACGGACAGCCGGATCTGACCACCTCGCTCGCTCACGGCGAATTCGTATCCTCTGGAATACCCCTCACAGTCGCAGTCGAAGCATCTTGCCCGCCCGCCTCACTTCTCCACTCCAAATACCCCATCCGCTGCTTGTACGCTTCGCCGCGAGCATCTTTCTCCCGTTTCATCCGTCCGAGGTCCTCTCACAGCCGCCGTAGATGGTACTGGTACGTGCTTCGCTCGGAAGCGGATGAACGTGTGAGTTGACGGGGTGCGTGGAGATGTCAAGGCGTTCGATGTCGAGTGGTGTCTGTAGAGCCTTCTCTCTCCGCTCGGGGGCGGCGCAGAGGTGTGCGAGATGGCTGATTAGGTCGGGGGGCGTGGGCATGCCGGGAGATTGGTGGAGTTGCGGGGAATTGAATGCGTGGTGTGGTTGATAGAGGGCTCAGAATCCATTGATGGTGGTCGATATGCGCGCGAGATACGCTGGTGTCGTGCCTGCTGAAAAGAAGGCGGCCTGCTGCCAAGAAGACGGCCGGATCGACTTGCTTGAGGTGATGTCTCTTGAATCAGTGTTGCTTGAGGCGGCTTTTCTTGAGCTGAGAAAAGTACAGCGACATATCGTGAAGGCCGTGGTGGGACTGCTCTTTGGAGGAAGGGAAAAGGAAGGTGCTGTGAAGGTGCATTTTTGCTTCATTTCCCTTCAGACATGACTCTCGAGCCGCACGG